GTTTGTTAGTGGTAAACAGCCCCAGTAGAGGCTTACGGTCAGTAAAGACCATGAAATGGCGGCCATATAAGAAATCATGAAATTTCTTAATGCCAGCCACTATGGCCAAGGCTTCTCTGACAATTTGAACGTAATTTCGCTCTGCAGAAGACAGAGTCCTCAAATAATAGGCCACAGGGACCTGCGTCCCATCAACCTTCAGATGACTGAGTACAGCTCCAACCCCATAAGGAGATGCATTGCATGCGATGCAAGCAGGTAGCTGCTCATTGAAATGTGCTAAAACTGCATTAGAAGTGAGCAATGCTTTAACCTCATTGAAACTCTTTTTGTGGACTTTGGTCCACTGTCAAGAGGCCTGCTTGTCTAAGAGCCTGTGTAAAGGCTCTGCTACTGCCTCTTTATGTGAGAGAAATGCATGGTAAAAGTTTAATAGCCCTAAGAAGGCTTGCAGCTCACTTTTAGACTTAGGGCTTGGGGCCTACTGGATAGCTTGCAATTTAGATTCAGCAGGGTGAATGCCTTGAGCATCTATCCTGAATCCTAAGAATTCAGTAGAAGTGACTCCTGTCTTACACTTGTCCTTCTTTAACTTAAGGCCTGCTCTTCGAAAACGAAGCAAGACAGCCCTTAATCTCTCTGCTAAATTTTGAGATTATTCCCCAGCAATGAGGATATCATCAAAGTAGGGACAGATCCCAGGAATACCTCAAAGTGTGCTTTCCATGACACTTTGGAATATACCAGGGGCTACATTTACCCCAAATTGCAGTCTCTTGACCTTGAAGGCTCCCTTGTGAGTTACAATAGTCTGGGCCTCAGCAGCTGCCTAAGCAACAGGTAGCTGTTGATAGGCTTGTGCCAGGTCAAGCTTCGCAAAAATGTGCACCCCCCTTGAGGGAGGCCAGAATGTGACTTACCACAGGCACTGGATAATCGTGCTGTTGTAGTGCCTTATTCAGTGTGCACTTGTAGTCTGCCCATATACGTATATCCCCATTAGCCTTTAGAGACGTTACTATGGGAGTTTCCCATGGACTAGAATCTACAGGTTCTAAAATGCCCTGCTGGAGCAGTTTGTCCAGCTCAGCATCAATCTTGCCTTTGAGGGCAAAAGGTACCCTCCTAGGCTTAACCCTTATGGGCATGATGTTTGGGTCTAACTGTAGTGAAATTGGGGGCCCCTTGTAGGATCCTAATTCTGAACTAAACACATCTGCAAACTCCTTGCAGACTTCTGTAAGGCTTAACGTTTGCAAACTGTGCAGCCCAGTGACCTGGATTCCCAGGGCCTCGAACCAATGGAGTCCAATAAGACTCGTGTGTTCACCCCCAGTAACCACCAAATCTAGGGGACCTTCAAAATCCTTATGTTGTACTCTAAGGGTGGCCTCCCCCTTAACACACACCATAGAATTCTGAAAATCTGTAAGGATTAGATTGGATGGCCTGAGTTTAACTCGAAGGCCGCTGTAGCTGCAAATCCTTTTGAATGTGTTAATGGAAATAATGGAGAAAGCGGACCCAGTGTCCAACTCCATTGATAAGGGAACCCCTTGCAGCCTTAAATTGATGGACAGCTTCTTCTTAAGGGGCTTATGTGTTCCTGTCCTTAAAATACTCCTGTGCGATGTGCAGAGGCCCACCCTATGTTGGCTGGGGACCCAATTCTTCAGACGCAATTCTTCACGAGGTTGTACCTTCTGGCGACCCAAACAGACGGATGCGATGTGGCCTTGCCTGCCACACGCTCTGTAAATGGTGGAGTGAAATCTGCAATCAGCTTGCTTGTGGCGTTCTCCACACCCGAGGCATTGAAGAGATGCTGGGGCCTTGCCCGGACATTCCTTCTCCCTCCTTCCAGCTGGCTGGTGAAGACTATCCACCTCTTCTTCAGGATCCGCTTCCAATTCTTCTCTAGCATCCTCTTGATGGACTGTAGCTGACTCTGGAGGGCTCTCGGTGGGCCGTATGGTCTTTACTGCCCCCCTGCTGCTTCCTCAGCTGTCACCTCTCGAAGAGCATCTTGGAAAGAGACATCTTCTTTAGCAAAAATCTTCTGCCATAAGTCTCTGTTCCTTAAACCGCATATGAAGCTATCTCGCAGCCTCTTCCAGATCCTTAAATTCACATGGTCTGGCTGCTTGCCTTAAGGCCACAATAAAATCCGTAGCAGATTCACCCAGCCTCTGGTCTCTCTGCTCGAACACGTGCCTCCAAGCAATAACAGATAACTTTGGCTGGAAGTGTTCCTTTAGCATTTTCTTCAAATCAGTATATGTTACTGAGTCCAGAGGTGCAGGGGCCACCAGATTCTCTGCAATTTCAAACGCTTCCTGTCCACAAACACACAAAAGAGTTGCAGCTTTCAAGCCATCCTATCTAATTTGGTTTACTCTGAAGTAATTCTCCACCCTTGCAACGTAGGAGTTCCATCTTTCTGGGTGTGAGACATCAAAATCAGCCAAATGACCAATCTTCGCCATCATACTTGCTTCTTTCAGCATTCGCTCCTCTGTAAACTTCGGTTTAGGGAAAGAATCTTTTAGCTGAGCTCACTCTCCAGCGACGCTATACTGGCAGGCTGGGATGCTGATTCAGAAGCCGTCTTCCCTCTTCAGGACTTTCTTAGTAAGTCCTCAAAAGTTTTTCTTTAGTTTGCAAAGGATCCCACCTTCATTGCCAGTGTAAAATACTCCATTCGCTTGCAAATGAGGAAGCATGGTGAATTTAACAGTTCTTTATTTCTCCTTTAGTCAACACTCCAACAACGAGCAACAGGCGCGCAGGCCTCTTTAAGCAACCAGAGACCCGGACAATAATACAACAAACCAGTTGCGCTGGTCCCACGCAGCTTTTGGAATGCAATGTCCTGAGCCTGCTTTTGTAGGCTCAGGACACAACAAAGGGTATTTAATGTTTTGAGACTAGAAGTTTCTGTAACGATTTTGAAATACTTTTTTCTTTCTAGTAATACTTGAGAACTACATACACATAGGCTGTAGTGAAATATCTCAATAGCAGAAGAAGTTGCTTGGTTGATAGAGGGTAGAAAATACATTGTTTTCAATGGTGAGAAAAAAGCTGACATGATGCAGGATTAGGCATCTTGGATTAAAAAAACGGGAGAGGCCAAATTCCATTGATTAACAATGTTATAAATTTATTTATTGAGAGGAAAAAGGTTTTTGCAGGAAGGGAAGGCAATGATTTTAAGCTATCTAGAAAAAAAGGTAACAAAGGAAATGAATTAATAGCCAAGGCAAGAAAAAATATTGAGGCTGAATGCTAAGACACAATTTATAGGCTTTCAAAGAATAGTGAAGCATTCACCTCTGATGCTCATATATTTTGTATCTCTATCAAACATAGAATTTCTTTAAAAATTGAGGGTCATGGAGGTCCTGGAAATGATGGAACTGGGTTAAAACTCTGGGAAGAATTGTGCAAAGTGTCATTGCAGCTGTTTCACCTGACTTATTATTTATATAATAAATATATATTCTGCCTTTATTATTTATATAAATAATTCAGGGTAGCAAGCATACCTAATATTCTTGCCTCCTCCTAATTTTTCCACAGTAACAACCCTTTGAGGTAAGTTGGACTGAGAGAGAGAGGGGGGGGGGGCTCAGTTATATATGAATATATACTATATAATTTACTTTACAAATAAAGTAAGACTACTATGTGTACAATAGTTCCATTCTTCCTCCTGGGTATTCCATACTAGATCTACCTCATCTGCAACTACTCAAATACCAGGAGGGCAGAAGAGGTTGGGTTATGCTAAGGATTACTTAGTTTAATAATGTGTAAAGATATTTACTGTGAAATTGATTAGTTAACATTCTAAGGGGATAAAATTTAGAATGAGGCTGAATGTCACAGGTGAAGCCCTGCCTTTTTTAAAAAAAATATGAAATACATGTAAAGCAGCTGGATTTAATCCTATCATCTATGAACCATCTTGACTTTTTTTGACTATGCCCAAGATGGCTGCTGAGAGCAAGCATAATGAAATTTGAAATAAAAGCAAATTAAATGCAAATCTGGAGGTACATTATTCTACTGATATTCATATTTTAAAATATTAGCACTAATCATTCAAATTGAATTTTATCTTGAAGCAAGGGAAAAATATGTCACTGATTTTGAGAAGAGATTATTTAATTATCGTTCTAATGAATGTCACCTTTTTGCACAGAAAATCTAGAATTAAAATTCAGTGACTCTTGCTTGGTTTTTAAGAATAGCTTGATTTGTAAGACACGAAAAATCAACCATTTGCCTTGACAGAATTATTTGAAGGCTCCAAAAATCCCTTCAATGGTAGTTCTAGAATCCTAGAATGTGGAGTGAGAATCAAAATTGTCAGATTTCAAACAAAGACAGTGAAAGAGGCAGTACTGTATTGCAAGCCAGATCTCCTCTGAGTAGCATGATCAGATGCAACAGAGAAAAAGGTGTGTCTTTTAATAGTGACAAACAAGAGAGCATTCTGGCAGGGTACTTCCTTTCCCAACTTCTTCTCTGTGCTATTAGTTGCAGCATCTGTTACCATTCCTTCCTCTGCAGAACACAGCCATGAAATATACAGCATTCTGTGGGCCCAAGTGGGCAGATAAATCCCTGCATATGCAGCTGAATATATAAGCTAATAACATCTTAGAAATGCAAAGAAATCTCAAAATTGGGATGATTAACAAGTGAATTTTAAGATCCTATTAAAAGCAACAATACTTACTTCTTTCACTATCACCGAGATCGTCTTCTATCAAGATTTCTATTGATCCAAATCATATCCCAGAAACATTTATTTAGCCATAAATTTCAGCTGCAACAGAATTAGGACTGGTGTGTAGCATCATAATTTCTTGGACTGTATATTTCTTCTCTCAACATAGGCTGATTTGTTTTGAAAAATAAAACCCATCCACCTCCACACAAAAGCAAACATTAACAGATACTTGGACCCCCCCCCATCACCCAGAAATTACCTGCTTTCTTTCAATGCATCAGCAGGTTTTGTAAACAAATCTTCTTTCCAGGCAGAGTGCATAGAATATGGCATGAAATCAATAGACCCTTCAATTGCCTCCTCAGGGGTGTACTTTTACTCCTTTTGTATTTATATTGAAAGATCTCACATTCAGATTTTGCATAGTAGAAGTGAATAGATAAACAACTCCTCTCCCTCATCCAGTCTTGAAAAAAGGGCTCTGTACTGCGGATAGGAAGAGCAGCTCAGACAGCCAGGCACACTAATGTACTTCTGTTAACAAGCTTCCTGAATCTCAGAAAGATCTGCTTCCTATCCAAATGGCCTTTTCCCCGCAGCATGGCCATTGTTCCAATTATACTTGCCAAATGGGCTTTGCAAAAACCACAGAATAAGAAAGAATAGCAAAGTATATCAAAGCCCTTTAAAAGACTAACATTTCTGAATTGCAGTATATTTTATTAAATGTTTACCTGAGTGCAAATATACAGACAAAGAATTTGGGAACAGTGAAATCAGAGAGAAAATAAACAGGAAATATATTTGGAACCATAGCGTTGCAAAGCTTTAGCTCTAGAATGAAAATAATTAGGATTGCTCCAATTTAATATAGTAATGAAAGAGCTATAAAGTACCCCATTTTGTTGCATCTTTGCCACAATATTGGTTTGATTCTAAATAGTAACTAACTTGGATTTAAGTATTTTTGAGTCAATAATTTGCTACTTCACTTATTGCAGAGAGGAAATCCAAATTTCAATTCTATCCAAATATCCTTGGTAATCATCTGATTTTAAGGGAGATGATGTTCCTGGGAAGGGGTAGCAGTAGAAAAAAGCTGTGTTTGTGGCTTTTAATGTTAACCCTTTTAGAACTGTGAGGAATAAAATAAATTCCACTTCAAAGATGTTGGAAAACAAAACAAGTTTTATTGAAGTGTTTGCAAAGGCTGGTGGATCTTGGCAAATACAATCCCAGAGACCACACCCAAATTAGTTCAGTATAAACCTTTATGCCTGTCCCAAGAACATGCCACGTCCTTCCTTTCCAGACCCAGTTGATAGGTTCAATCTAGTCACATGCTTTCCAACCACTAGTAAAATTATTAGACACTGCAGCTGTACAATTAATAATTCACCGTTGTTTTATCTTTATCTTTCTCTTTTCATGTTTGTGACATTCAACCAACTCAGCTCACAATAGGAGCCTGCTTCAAATCAAAAGTTGTGTATGTCATCATTTTAGCAAGGTTAAATATGGCTGCACTTTGACTATATGTTTATACCTTAAATACTGGCTCTAAATAGTTTTCATAAAAATAAATGAAGGGATCAAAATATAATCTTTTGTGTATAACCCAGCCATTGCTCATTCTTTCTTGTTTGCACTCTGTTGTATCCTAAGCCTGCAAAAGCAGGCTCGGGACGTAGCAATGGTCCCGGGCATTCCAAAAGCTGCCTGGGACCAGAAGAGCAGCAATGACCTTGTGCGCAAGTGCAAGGCGCGAAAACGCTGTTACTGTTACTTGTCTTTGCATAAGTTCTGGCCATAAAAAGGGGCCTGCGAGCCCTTTGTCTTTTGCCGGGTGTTGCTGTAAGAAAATAAAGAACTGTTTAACTTTGCCATGAGTATTCATCATTCGCACATGAACACTGGTGACAAAGGTGGGATCCTTTGCAAACTAAAGAGGAAGTTTTAAGACTTACCCAGGAAGTTCTGAAGAGGGAAGACGGCATCTGAATCAGCATCCCAGCCTGCCAGTATAGCGTCGCTGGAGGGTGAGCTCAGCTAAAAGAACCTTTCCCCAAACAGAAGTTTGCAGAGGAGCGAGTGGTGAAGGTAGTAATAGTATGATGTCGAAGATTGTCTGATTTTGATGTCTCACACCCAGAGAGATGGAATTTCTATGTTGCAAGGGTGGAGAATTACTTCAGAGTAAATCAAATTAGAGAGTATGGCTTGAAGGCTGCAACTCTTTTGTGTGACTGTGGACAGGAAGCTTTTGAAATTGCAGAGAATCTGGTGGCCCCTGAACCTCTGGAGTCAGTAACATATACTGACTTGAAGAAACTGTTGAAGGAACATTTCCAGCCAAAGTTGTCTGTTATTGCTTGGAGGCACGCATTTGAGCAGAGGGACCAGAGGCCAGGTGAATCTGCTATGGATTTTATTGCAGCCTTAAGGCGAGCAGCCAGACCCTGTGAGTTCAAGGATCTGGAAGAGAGGCTGAGAGATCGCTTCGTATGTGGGTTAAGGAACAGAGACTTACAGCAGAAGATTTTTGCTAAAGAAGAAGTCTATTTCCAAGATGCTCTACGAGAGGTGACAGCTGAGGAAGCAGCAGGAAGGGCTGTGAAGACCTTACGCCTTACCAGGAGCCCTCCAGAGACAACTACTGTCTATCAAGAGGACGCTCGAGAAGGATCGGAAGCGGATCCTGAAGAAGAGGTGGATAGACTTCACCAGCCAGCTGAAAGGAGGCAGAAGGAATGTCCAGATAAGGCCCCAGCATCTCTTCAATGCTTTGGGTGCGGAGGACGCCACAAGCGAGCTGAATGCAGGTTACGATCCGCCATTTGCAGAGTGCGTGGCAAGCAAGGCCACATCGCATCCATCTGTTTGGGTCACCAGAAGGTCCAACCTCATGAAGAATTGCATCTGAAAGGCTTTTCTTCAGGCCAATCTGATCCAGCATGCAACATCAGCTCCCTTCCACCCATCCTCCAATGGAATGGCAGAGAGAATGGTGCACACCACCAAAGATGCCCTCAAGAAACTGACTTACGGTAACTGGCATCACAGGTAGCAGATTTCCTTTTTGCACACCGCACCACACCATGTACTGCCACAGGGAAGAGCCCTGCTGAATTCTTCTGGGGTCGCCGCCTCATCACTAAACTGGACAGGTTGCACCCTGACCGGGTGGCTTCACACGTGTCACAACCGCGGGCACCAAGGGGACTCCAAGTGGGTGATTCGGTCTGGGCATGAAACTATGGGTCTGGTCATCTCTGGATCACAGCTGTGGTCTGCAAGCTCTCTGCACCGCTTTCATACGAAGTTGCCTTGGAAGATGGCCACGTTCTTCGCAGACACATAGACCAACTGCGTTGGAGACTGGACTCTCACCCTTCCGCTCCTGGCTCTGCTCTGGGGGGGGGGAGGAGGAGTATAACATGCATTCTGAGGCTCAATGTCACAGGCCAAACAGGCCATCACTAGCCACTACTGAGGCTATTTGGGATTCATCCCAGAGTTCCGCAAGTGCTCCTAACTGGAATTCACAGGATAGGGGGTCATCCCATACATCCATAATCACTCCAGACAGGGAGTCACACCGGGGGTATCCACAGTATTCATACATGGCAGATAGTGCTCCAGACAGGGAAACTGACCGGGGGTATCCACACAAATCACAAGCAGCAAGAGAAAAAGAATTCCAGCAGGGGGCTTGCCAAATTCTGCAATTGCTCCCAAAAGGAGGTCAACAGCAAAGGGGGTTGCCATGGAGGCAACTCCTGACTCTGGCACCTTGGGCATGTGCTTGGGGGCCACAGAGTACTGGGGCACTTCCGCTACCCAGCACTCTCCATCTGTTGGCCTTGGGTTCGAGGGACAGTGTTCCCAAGAAGGGTCTACTGTGGACCCGGGGACTTCTACTCCTCCAAGGTATGCTGGCTTGGACTTAGAGAGGCCAGCCAGCCAGCAGATGGGCGGGTCAACTGGGTATTTGGGGCAGCCAAGTCCTGGCCTGCCTAGGCTGGTAGGCGAGGAGGTAGGCCAGGCATCCTCACCGGGGTCACCTGGGGGCTCAAAGCAGCAACACTGTGGCCTGCCTTGCCTGGTAGGCGAGCAGGTGGGCCAGGCAATCTCTTCTGGCCTTTGAAGGTTGCAGCGGGCCAAGTGCCCACCCAAACATCTTAGAGAGTTTGTGAAATTGCTGTCAAGTCAATGAGGGTTAGTTTCATGAGGCCTGAATGCAGGGGGGGCACTTCGTGGAAAGATTATTGTATTATTTTTTGATTTTGGAAACATTCAATTGTATTACAAAAAATTGAAAAGGTTTGCCTGGGAGCAGACTTGAGTATTCCACACTCCTTGCCTTTGATTAAATGGAACTATATGACACTCTGCCAAGTGTGGCATACAAGTGAGTGCGCATATTATGCTCCATCTAAGGGGGAGGGATGTTGTTTTCCTGAGCCTGCAAAAGCAGGCTCTGGACGTAGCAATGGTCCCGGGCATTCCAAAAGCTGCCCAGGACCAGACAGAGCGGCGCCGGCACATGCGCAAGCCACGAAAACACTCTGTTATTGTTACTTGTCTTTGTATGAATTCTGGCCATAAAAAGGGGCCTGTGAGCCCTTTGTCTTTTGCCAGGTGTTGCTGTAAGAAAATAAAGAACTGTTTAACTTCACCATGAGTATTCATCATTCGCACGTGAACGGAGTACTTAACACACTCTATACTTCATTCAGAGATAACTTAACAAAAATTGTCCTGACGAAGGAGAAAGAAAAAGCTTAGCTGTAACTTTAAAAGTGTTTGCTATAGCTTGCAATGTATCGTTCTTCTGCTGTAACTTGCAAATGTATCTGCCCAATTGGCGATTTTGCAGGGCTCAGCAGAAATGCCAGGATCAGCACCAGGCTCCAGCTAATGGGCACTTCTACAGGGCTCAGCAGAAGTGCCGATCAGCTGGAGCCCAGCGCTGATCCTGGCACTTCTGCTGAGCCCTGCAGAATCCCTGATCATCTGGAGCCCAGTGCTGATCCTGGCACTTCTGCTGTGCCCTGCAGAATTGCCGATCTTCTGGAGCCTGGCACTAGTCATGGCACTTCTGCTGAGACCTGACACTCTGCAGAATAACCGATCACCTGGAGCCTGGCACTGATCCTGGCAGATATGCTGAGCTCCACAGAAGCGCCAATCAGCTGGAGTCTGGCTCTGATCCTGGTGTTTTTCCTAAGCTCTGCAGAAGCGCCAATCTACTGGAGCCCAGCGCTGATCCTGGCACTTCTGCAAAACCCCGCAGAATCGCCAATCAGCTGGAGCCTAGCACTGGCTCTAGTGCTTCAGCTGAGACATGACACCTGTGCAGAATGACCAATCAGCTGGAGCCTGGCACTGATTCTGGTGCTTCTGCTGAGCTGCCCAGAATCACTGATCAGCTGGAGTCCGGCGCCGATCCTGGCACTTCTGCTGAGCCGCCCAGAAGTGCTGATCAGCTGGAAACTGGTGCTAATCATGGTGCTTCTGCTCAGTCTCACAGAATTGCTGATCAGGTGGAATCCAGTGCTGATCCTGGTGCTTCTGCTGAGCCGCTCAGAAGCGGTGATCAGCTGAAGCCCAACACTAGTCCTGGCACTTCTTTTGAGACCTGACATGCATGTAGAATCACCGATCAGCTCCAGCCCGGTGCTGATCTTGGTGCTTCTTGTGAGTTGCCCAGAAGCGCCAATCCTCTGGAGCCTGGGGCTGATCCTGGTGATTCTGCTGAGCCCTGCAGAATCACCGATTAGCTGGAACCCTGCACTCATCCTGGCGCTTTTGCTAAGTTGCCCAGAAACACTGATCAGCTAGAGCCCGGCACTGATCCTAGCGGATCTGCTGAGCTCCACAGAAGTGCCAATCAGCTGGAGTCCGGCACTGCTCCTGGCACTTCTGCTGAGACCTGACACGCGTGCAGAATAACCGATCAGCTGGAGCCTGGTGCTAATCCTGGCGCTTCTGCTGAGACCTGACATCCCTGCAGAATAAACGATCAGCTGGAGCCCTGCACTGATTGTGGCACTAACTACAGCCGCCCCAAAACACCGATCAGCTGGAGCCCAGCACTGATCCTGGCAGATCTGTTGAGCTCCACAAAAGTGCCAATCAGCTGGAGCCTGGCTCTGATCCTGGTGTTTCTCCTAAGCTCTGTAGAAGCACCAATCTACTAGAGCCCAGTGCTGATCCTGGCACTTCTGCTGAGCCCATCAGAATTACCGATCAGCTGGAGCCCGCCACTAATACTGGCGCTTCTGCTGAGACCTGACACCCCTGCAGAATAATCGATCAGCTAGAGCCCTGCACTGATTGTGGCACTTTTGCTAAGCCGCCCCAAAACACCAATTAGCTGGAGCCCAGCACTGATCCTGGCAGATCTGCTAAGCTCCACAAAAGTGCCAATTAGCTGGAGCCTGGCTCTGATCCTGGTGCTTCTCCTAAGCTCTGTAGAAGCGCCAATCTACTAGAGCCCAGCGCTGATCCTGGTGCTTCTGCTGAGCCCCCCAGAATCGCCAATCAGCTGGAGCCCAGCACTGGTCCTGGCACTTCTGCTGAGACCTGACACCCATGTAGAATCACCGATCAGCTCCAGCCCAGTGCTGATCTTGGTGCTTCTTGTGAGCTGCCCAGAAGCGCCAATCACCTGGAGCTTGGTGCTGATCGTAGCACTTCTGCTAAGCCCTGCATTGATCCTGGTGCTTTTGCTAAGCCACCCAGAAATGCTGGTCAGCTGGAGCCCAGCGCTGACCCTGTTGATTCTGCAGGGCTCCAAAGAAGCACCAGTATTAAGTAAGTAAGTAAGTAAGTAAGTAAGTAAGTAAGTAAGTAAGGAAGGAAGGAAGGAAGGAAGGAAGGAAGGAAGGAAGGAGGGAAGGAGATGGGAATGTGAAGGAGGGAGGCACGGAGGGAGGGAAAAAGGAAGGAAGGAGATGGGAAAATGAGGGGAGGAAGGAAGAAAGAAAGGAAGTAGATGGGAATGTGAAGGAGGGAAAAAGGGAGGGGAGGAAGGAAGGAAATGGGAATGAAAGGACGGAGGGAAAAAGGAAGGAAGGAAACCCTCCCCCCATGCCAGCCACACCCATCCAATGGGCCATGCCCATCCAGCATCCAATGATAAATAAGTGGGGTTTGGGTTACAGTTTGGGTACTCGGTCTCTAAAAGGTTCGCTATCACAGCTATAGA